TTGTTTGGGAGATTATATATTTCCAAATTTTCAATCTGGCCAGGTGTGACTGACAGTCAAGTACCTTCCTTATGTAAACCCAACTTTACTGGGCATGTGTTACTTCTCTTTGTTGGATGCTTTCCCCCAGTGTTTTTCAAGGAATAAGCTGCTGGTTCCCTGGGAGCACAAAGTTGCATCTTCCTGGTGAAGCTGCCCAAATAACAAGCCTATAATGTGTGGCTTCCCCGTTGATACTTTCCTATTATTAATAACTAGCTAATATTACAATGCTATCACTCCTAGAGTTTAATTCATTAATGAAGAGGAATTACAGGGGCCAGCTATCAGGTGGCAAACTTTTTACTATGTGGATAAATGGTATGTCAGTGCATAGAAACTTTTCCAGCAAAAAAAAAAAAAAAAAAAAAAAGAAAAAGTTTTTTGCTTTATATATCTGGAAAAATCTAAGGATATCTTATAATGTATGGCTGTTGATCTTATCTCATTCACTCTTATTTTTTTATCAGCTTCCCTATGTAGCCACAAGTAATTAGCTTTAAGTTTTCTTCTAAGCCAGCACCATGCTTCCAGAAACCAGACAGTCTTCCCAGTTGTCCTAGCAGAAAAGTTCCAAGGACTTCTGCTCATGTTAGGGTCCTATGTCCAGTCCCAAAGAAATCATGTGGCTAAGGAAATGGGGCCCACTGATTGGTCAGGATTAGGTCACAAACCCACTCCCATTGGGTAGCAGATGGCACTGTAACCAATAACCCTGCCATATGTAATGGAAGAGAACTTTTCCTGAAGCAAGAGTAGGGTGAGACCAGAAGAAAAGGTGTAGAGGAAAAAGCTATCTGTGTGTACCTCAGGGCAACCTCAGCTCAGAGCTCTGCATTCTAGTGATATTCTGGAAGGTACTCTTAGTTGGAGGTAGGTTCAGGAGTCTTAGCTTTTTTGACAGGTTCATCCTGGTAGGTTTGGTCTTTTAGGTCTAGCAGGTCACTCTTTGATTTAATGGATGACATAATGAATTGTTTCATTACAGCTCTAGAGAGGTTATAAACTGCATTTCTAAGATGAAGTCTTTGATAGTCTTCAAGGGATCAAAAGGTCAAAATTATGTACAAAATCTTATTTACAACAATATGGAGAGGGTCCATAGCTTTCCTCTGATTGAAAAGCTTCTGGGGATTAGGAAGATTAAGAACACCCCAGCATTTCTCTATAGGGGAATCACCTATATTGGACAAGAATGTTTGTCACTATCCTATCTAATAATAGACAAACGTGGTAATTAACCATAACTCCGACACACCTCCCATTGGCTAATCAGGGCGATATGCAAATTAACTGCCAACCAAGATGGCGGCCGGCAGCCAGACAGCTGAAGCGAATAGGAGGCTTGCTTGCTCCATGATGGAGGAAGCCAAGGTTCCCTGCCTGCCGCTGCTGGGCTCTGAGCTTGCACTCTAAGAAACAATGTTGCAATTATAGAAGCTAAATAAACCCCATGCTTTCAGCCAGCCGGCTGAGCTAGAGTTGCAATAGTGTTTTAATTATAGAAGCCAAACAAACCCAGATACCTGCTTTCAGCAGCCGAGGTCTCAGAGCTGGAGCCAAGCCTCAGAGCTAAAGCCAGCTCTCAGTTCCAGTGACAGCCATAGAAGGTAAATAAATCCCAGAATAAAAAAACAAAGAAAAAAGGAGAGGTTGGGAGCTTCAGTCACCCGCCAGCCTGAAAACAGCCCTCAGCCCCTCACCCAGACTGGCCAGGCACCCCAGTGGGGACCCCTACCCTGAAGGGGGTGTGACCAGCTGCAAACAGCCATCATCCCCTCATCCAGGCTGACCAGGCACACAAGCGGGACCCCCACCCTGATCCAGGACCCCCTTCAGGGCAAACCAGCCGGCCCCCACCCGTGCACCAGGCCTCTATCCTATATAGTAAAAGGGTAATATGCCTCCCAGCACCGGGATCAGCGGAGCCACGAGACCTCATGCCCGGGATCAGCGGAGCTGCGAGGCCTTCTGGCACCAGGATCAGCGGAGCTGCAAGGCCTCCTGGCACCAGGATCAGCGGAGCCTCCCAGCACCAGGGTCAGCGGAGCAGCGAGGCCTCCCAGCACTGGGATCAGCGGAGCAGCAAGGCCTCCTAGCACCGGGATCAGCTGAGCAGCGAGGCCTCACTGCCCCGGTGTCAAGTGGAGCTGCGAGGCCTCCCAGCACTGGGATCAGCGGATCCATGAGGCCTCCTGGCCCCTGGAGCAGTGTGACAGGGGGCAGCGCCCAAACCCCCTGATCACCCTCGGCTCTGTGTGTGAAAGGGAGCAGGGCTACAACCTCCCTATCTGCCCTGCTCTGTTTGTGACAGGGGAAGGCGCCCCAACCCTCTGATCAGCCCTGCTCTGTGTGTGACAGGGTATGGAGCCCCAACCCCCGATCAGCCTTGCTCTGTGCATGACAGGGGGCGGCGCCCCAACTCCCCAATCGGCCCTGCTCTGAGCCCGACCAAGGGCTGCACCTAGGGATTGGGCCTGCCCTCTGCCACCCGGGAGCAGGCCTAAGCCAGCAGGTCGTTATCTCCCGAGGGGTCCCAGACTGTGAGAGGGCACAAATGGGGCTGAGGGACAACCCCCCCCCCCCCGCCAGTGCACAAATTTTTGTGCACCGGGCCTCTAGTCCTATATAATAAAGGGCTAATAAGCAAATAGACCGAACGGCGGAACAACCGAACAACCGGTTGCTATGATGTGCGCTGACCACCAGGGTGCGTGTGCGGAACATGGTGGATGTTGGCCGTGGTGGGATGGTGGAGCAGGTGAGCAGGGGCGCCAGACCAAGGTGGGGCGCTGGTCACTGTCATAGGGCGAGCCTCTGGTGGTTACTGAAAATTCTTTGCTCCTGTGCATTGCAGTCGCGCCTGGTGCTTGCACCTGCTGCCAGCGCCTGCCCCACTTGCACCTGCAGCCGACGCTGGTCCCGATCGCTTGGCACCATCAGTGGGTGCGAGCGATGGCTGCTGGCCCTTATCGCCCCTGAGGGCTTCTACACCTCCCCCTGCTCCTGAGGGGCAATTGGGGCAGCAGACATTGCTTGAATCCACTGCTGGCACCAGCTCCAATCACTCCATACCATCAGCAGGTGGGAGCGGCAGTGGTGGGAGCAGATAGGGGACCGGGGTAATGGCTGGAGGAGCTGGGCACGGGTGTCGAGGATGGGCTGAGACCCACCCCGTGCCTACCACAGCCTCTTGGCCCACAGTTTCTTTCAAGGTGCACAAATTCGTGCACTGGGCACCTAGTATTAAATAGATAGCATTTCTGGTTCATACAGCTGAAAGGACTGTAATCCCCCCAAGTCATTGTGAAAATCAAGAGTGCCCCACCCCATTTCAAGCACCTGCAGCCGAGAATCTAGGTTGAATGTTCTCTTGTGTTTTACCTTCCTGCCTCCTTCTGGCAGCGAGTGACCCCTCTCTGCTTCCAGCATCTTATTTCTAGCGATCCATCTATCAAGGAATCTGGAGCCCACCTTCATGAGCACAAAGGGCCCACTTTCCTCAGGAGTGTTCAAATCGTTTGCCATATTTTCACGCTTTAGTGAAGGACCTAAGAGTAGTATTTTGGGAAGTTTTATTGTGGGATTTTGGTAACTGTTACTGTAAAATGGTGTGCTTTCCCTTTCCCCCAAATCTCCTTGATATCCTCAACTCTTAAGGTCGGTCTTTTCTGATGTAAAATTAAAATGTTTCACCGTGAGGCAAAATGGGCAACTCCTGGAAGATGCCCCCTAATTAGTCTAGCCTCCTTGGGTGTTCTCCTAGGATGATCATTTCGTTTATTAAGTCTGAAAGGAGGAACTCAAGGATCAAATGCTAGCCTGAAAGGAGTAGATTCGAGATTCAATAAATAAAAGAATGGCCATGGAGCAGCATTTCTATAGATCACAAATCACTCTCCCTTGCATTTGACCTTGCAACATCTTCGGAAACAAGTTTGCCAATCTCCTCTTTTAAAGATGAAGAAATTAGGCTTCTAGGAACCAAGTGACGTGCCCAGATTACACAGCGCTTTGGAGAAGGACTCCAGGTCTTCACTCTAAATGCCACTGCCTCTCTGCTCGCTCCCGGATGCCTCAAGACACGTTTAAAAACACTTATTTTTATTGTTGAGAGTATTACTGGAAGAAGGCAGACGTCCGGCTGGAACTAATCAGCGAAGGACTGGAAGCAAAAAAGAGCTGCAGCCCAGCCTGTTGGCCAGTTACCTAAGCGAGTGCGGAAGCTGGGCGGGGGGGACACTTTTGCAGTTATTGCCCCACACCTCACTCCTGCAACGTTAGGACAGTCTCCGCGAACTCCCAGTGACTGAGAAATGCCATGCAAGAGGGCCCGTGATGACGCTGCTTCGTTCTGTGCCTTCTTAGATGAAGGGAGCCTTCGAGTGCTGCTGTGATCGGAGGTGGCGATTGGACGGGGAGCTGGGAGAGCAGCCCCGCGAAGCTCGGGCTGAGTCGTGGAGAGGACGCACAAGAACCCCGCTAAGCAAGGTGTTCACCCCCACGTGGAGGCGAGTTGCTCCGCTCCAGCGCGAGGACGAGCGGCGATGTCGCAGTAGCGCTGGAAGCAAACAGGCTGTTCGGCATCCTTTTAGGTTAAGGCAGGCTGAAGGCTCAAACTTTCTAGTGCCAAACCCTTCACTGTTGTTTTTTTGTTTGTTTTAAATAAGGACTTGGCGTTCCTTCTCAGGCGTCTGAGCTGCGAGGAGGGGTGACCGTAGGAGCGCCGGCCGGGTCTGTCCTAATTAATATTTAATGGTCAGGTCTGTACCCTTGAGGCGAGAGGGAGCCGCTGACATTGACAGGGATTCCGAACTGGAGCTGCCCCGCGGGGTCCGGCAGGCGGCCTCTGCCCCGCGGGCCGCTGGGAGTTGTAGTTCCCGCCGGCCCCGCGGCCCCCGCAAGCTGGGGAGGCCCCGCCCGGCCGAACTACAAGCCCCGGCGGCACGGGCGGCGGCCCCTCCCCGGCGAGTGCGAACCCCCGGCGCCGGGCGGCCGCGCGGGCGGCGGCGGGCAGAGCGGGCGCTGCGGCCGCGGACCCAGGCCCGCCTCCTCCCCTCGCCCGGCTCGGTCCTCACCCGGGCGCCGCGGGGACGGAGCCGCAGCCATGCAGTCCGAGTCGGGCATCGTGCCGGATTTCGAAGTCGGGGAGGAGTTTCATGAAGAACCCAAAACCTATTACGAACTCAAAAGTCAGCCGCTGAAGAGCAGGTGAGGGGCCGCGGGCTCGGCGGGGCTGCGCTGCGCTGCCCGGCGCGGAGGGCGGGCGCCGGGCTGGGACAAGGACCCCGCGCCCTTGCGGGGCGGAGGGCGAGCTGCGCCCGCCCGGGGTCTGCGCCGCGCCGGGGGCTCCGGCCGAGCGCGCTCCGCGGGCGCAGGGCAGCAGGGGCTCCGGGCCGACCCCTGGCCGGGAGGCGGGCGAGGGCGGGGCGGCCCGGGCGGCGGGCAGGGAGACCGTGTCAGGTGAACCCCTGCCCCGAAGCTCCGACGGCGCGGACTGGAGGGGGCGGCGGGGCGGCAGGCGGGACGCCGGAGGGCAGTGGAGCTCCGCGCGTGGCCTCGGAGGAATCGCCCTCCGGGACGCCCGCCGCCCCAGGTGCGGTCCCGGGCCCCGCCTCTCACCTGCGGCGGCGCGGGCGGCGGGCGGGTCCCCGCGTCCGCTCCAGCCCCGCGCGCCGTGGAGACCCCGAGACCCCGGCGCCTGGAGGGGGCCTGCGCGGGGGCAGGCGTGTCCTTACCGGGACGGAACTTTGAGGAGCGGAGCGGAGCCGCGCAGGTCCGCCGCCTCCGCACCTGGTGCCCAGCGGGGCCCTCCGTTCCCGCTTCCCCGCGGGAGGCGGGTCTTCCTTTCGCGCAGCCCTGCGGCCGCGGACGGGCACGGGCAGGGTCAGGAGAGGGAGGGTCCCAGCGGCGGGAGCGGAGCGGAGGGGTCTCCACCCTCCCAGCGGCGGGGTGAGGTCGGCGGTGTCAGGGGTTCCCAGTGCCCCGCACCGCAGGGGGTGGGGGCGGGGCCTGGGCCTGGCTGGCAGGGCCCGGGACCCAGCGACCAGGGAGATGGAGGAAGGAAACTGAGTCAGGCGCCCTGTGTCTGCCTCTGGGTGCAGGGCCCGGCGGGCACATGCTTAGGGCTCTGCGGCCCGGAATCCAAGTTGGGGAAGAAAGTCCGAGGACTGCACAGGGCTGGCCGGCTGCTGCGGCTGCCTCCTCGCAGATGCCTGGGATGGGAAGGAAGCCCCTGCAGTTAGAGGCATGAAACCAGCCTGTAGTGGTGATTCCTCTTCATAATGGCTGTCTTGTGTGTGAGCGTAGATTGTGTGTTGGGGGTTGGGAGTTTTGAGTAATATTGTGCAAAGGGTATTGTTGGTTATGCTCATTGGGGCTTTATCTGCACTCAGCTGAAGGGACCAGTGTTTTACTGAGCAGTCTCTGCTTTTGCTTTTATAAGCAGACTAGAGGCCTGGTGCACGGAATTTGTGCACTCGGGGAAGGGGTCCCTCCCTCAGCCTGGCCTGCACCCTCTGGCAGTCCCGGACCCCTTGAGGGATGTCCGACTGACGGCTTAGGCCGGATCTCCACGGGGAGCAGGCCTAAGCCATCAGTGGGACATCTTTAGCGCTGCTGTGGAGGCGGGAGAGGCTCCTGCCACCACCGCTGCCCTCGCCAGCCATCAGCCTGGCCTCTGGCTGAGCAGCACTTCCCCTGTGGGAGCATCCTGACCACCAGGGGGCAGCTCCTGCATTGAGCTCTGCCCCTGGTGGTCAGTGTGCATCATAGTGACTGTTCTGCCTCTTGGTCAATTTGCATATTAGCCTTTTATTATATAGGGTGCTTACATTGCCAGAATGAGGGAACAAGTGTGTGTGTGTGTGTAGTCCTGAAAGAAATGAATTAACCGGACTTATTGGAACATTTTTGATGGTAGCTGATACATAATTAAAGGAGTTTGAGAGTGAAGAAAATACCATCTGGAAAAACCCAAATGAACGCTATGGAGCTCATGCTGAAGGATTTGGGCCTGTTCTCGCTCAGAGTCGACAATCAGTTGCTTGCCAGGTGAATGAACGTGCTGGGGAGCTAGTGGGCACGTGCCAGGCGTGGTGTGGCATGGGAAGCAGTGGCTTCAGGTCAAAGCTGGAAGCAGGCGGGGGACAGAACCTGTATGGAGAGCAAGGCTAAATTTAACAAGTTGTCAAATGGTCTGTGGAGCAGACACATGTTCTTTAAAAGAAAGCAGTTAAATAAAACCTGTTAATAAACATATAAGGTTGGCAGAATTTCCCTATGCTGTTTTTCATAGCTGTCTGCGGTATTGTCATCAACATATGTTGTGTGTTTTTAAAGGGACCACACACTGTTCAGGGCCTCCTCATGGCTCTGTCTGAAGCAGCGGTTCTCAACCTGTGGGTTGCGACCTCTTTGGGAGTCGAATGACCCTTTCACAGGGGTCGCCTAAGACCATCCTGCATATCAGATATTTACATGATGATTCATAACAGTAGCAACATTACAGTTATGAAGTAGCAATGAAAATAATTTTATGGTTGGGTCACAACATGAGGAACTGTATGTAAAGGGCCAGAAGGTTGAGAACCACTGGTCTGAAGTCTTTGACGGACACCTTCTTAAAATTCTTGATTGGGAACAGTTGAAGTGAAAGGTTAGAACTGCTGTAGCTATTTTGTCTTTCGCTTCTCAGGAGTGTGTTAGGGTTGAAAATATGTCCAGAATCTGTCCACTTCCCTTCAACTCCTCCGCCACCACTTGGGTCCAAGCTACCATCTGCCCTCCCCTGGGTTACTGCAGTCATCTCTTACCTGGTCTGCCTTCCACCCGTACCCACTGGCATGGGGTTTCAACTCAGCAGCTATGATGTTCCTATTAAAGCTGATTCTCAACCTAGGGGCGATTTTGCCTCCCAGTCATTTGGCAATGGCTGGAGACATTTCTGGTCATCACAGCAGAAGGGAATTGCTGCTGGCCTCTGCTACGCAGCCTGCCACCGTTCTACAGGGCACAAGGGAGCAGTTATTTGGCCCCAAATTGTCACCACCGAGGTTGTGAAACCCTATGTTAAAACTGTCACATCAGGCCATTCTCTATTCACAAAACCTCCAAGAGCTCCTCCTTTCACTAAAACTGGAGAGCCAGGTGGCCTGCATGGTCAGGCTGCCTGTCAGCTCTGACTTTTGTCTCCTGCTGTCACTTGAGACTCCCTCTGCTCCAGCCAGGCTGGTCTCCTCGCTGTTCCTGGAAAAGACCCCTCCTCCTCAGGGCCTTTTATGTTGTTCTTGCTGGTCCCTTGGCCTGGACTGCCCTTTGCCCAGAAAGCCATGGGGCTCCCTCTCCCTTTTTAATTAATTAATTAATTTGTTGTTGTTATTCCTCACCTGAGGATATCTTTTCCATTGCTTTCTTTATTTTCTATTTTTTGTATATTTTCATTGATTTAGAGAGGAAGGGAGAGGAAGAGAGAGATAAACATCAATGATGAGAGAGAATCATCGATTGGCTGCCTCCTGCACACACTCCACATGAGGATTGAACCTGCAACCTGGGCATGTGCCTTGACCAGGAATCAAACCATGACCTCCTGGTTCATAAGTCGACACTCAACCACTGAGCCAGGCTGGCCTGGCTCCATTGCTTTTTCAGGAAGAGTGGGAGGGAGAGAGGGAGTGGGGGAGAGAGGAGAAACGTCGATATGAGAGAGCCACAGTGACTGGACTGGTTGCCTTCCACATACACTCTGACTGACCCAGAGTGGGCAGTGAACCCGCAACCCAGGTACATGCCCTTGATTGGGAATCGAACCCACAACTCTTTGGTGTGTGGTCCGATGATCTAACCACTGAGCACACCAGCCAGGGCTGCCATTCATCAAGCCTACCTTGACCACACTATTTATAATTGCTAATCTTCCAAACTCCCATCTTCTTTGCCCTGCTCTGTTTTTCTATGGTATTTATAACACATTCTGTAATTTTCTGATATGATGTGTTTGTTTCTCCACACTAGACTGCAGGCTCCAAGGGAGCAGGGATTTCTCTTTCTTCCTTGTTTACTGTTGTGCCCCAGAGCCAAGGACCGAGTTTCTCAACCTTGCACCATTGACATTTTGAACTGGGTGATTCCTGGCTGTGGGGGCGGTGCCTGAGCATGGCAGGATGGTTAGCAGTGTGTCTGTCCTTCCGGCCCCTGCCACTAGAGGCCAGATGAGCCCCTTCCCCACTTGTGACAACCAGAAATGTCTCCAGACTTTGCCAACTGTCCATGAGGGGCAGAGTCACACCTGTTTTGGAAGTACTGGCCTAGAACCATGCCTGGCACAATGAATGCTTGGTGTTTGTTTCAGCATTCAACATTGCATTCCTTTCAAAACAGACACCGCCAGGGCCTCTCGGAAGAGGCATTTACATATTTCCTCTTCCTTTGTGCTGAGCTCAGATAGGCAAGTGTTTCATGAAGAAGGACACATGTCTTCCTTAGCCAGACCGCCTGCCTTTCGGGATGTGAAGCTGGGGATCTGGATGACGGCAGCTGCATTTTGGTTCTACTCAGTGGCACAGCTGTGTCGCAGGAAGCCACATGCTATGAGCGAAGGTTCTAATGAAGACTGATTTGCAGTTTGGTTTTCCCAACAGGTTCTGAGACCTTTGTGTGTTGCGGGAATGCGTTCTGAATGGTGGTGGCAGAGGAAAAGTGCCCAGTGTCATGGGTGAACCTAGAATTCACACGTCAGCAGTCGGGTCAGGCTACCGAATGAGCTCCTAGGAACCAGGAAACTGTCGGTCTTTGGGACCTGCAGAGAACATTTCAGAATATGGTAGCAACTTCGGGCTCATGTTTCTTTAGTTTGGGTCACTCAATACTGTGGACTTTGTAGTGGCTAACATAGTTTTACTTGGGCAGACTTCAGAATTGACTTAATCTAATTTCAGTTATTTTTTCTTCTCAAATTTTTAGTGATGTTTCAGATAACTTCCTACAAATTAGAAATGAGTTTTAAATGGCAGGACAGGATATAGCGGTGGTTCCTAAATGCTGGCTCACAGGGGTGCGAAGTTTTCACAGGTTGGTAGTGCAGTGTCACCCGCAGTCACGTGCACATTCTTGGTATAAGGCCACTGCCACTTCATGGACTTGTTCGCAGGTATTCCCTCCTGTCTTCCGTTTAAAAATGCCCTTTCTTTTATGAAATGATAACCATTCTT